TGTAAGAAACAGAGATGGGACAATTTAGCCCCCCATGAAAAATTTATTATAATCACCAGTGTGATAGTTGGAGACTGGATTCTGTGAGAACCTTTATGAGTTTGCTTTCTTCTCAAGTTTACAGTTCCTAAAACATGGGGGAGGGCCTTCTTCAGCAGTCACATTCCACTATGGAAATCTTCCTGATCCATTCATCCTTGTTAGTATTAGAGGACTCTGACGACCTGTCAGGTCATTGCATTCCACTGCAGGGCTGCCTGGCAAGTTAGGAAAGCAGTTTAACATTCTTCTCAGAAAAGCTATTGTGAGGTCATACACTAACTGTGCTGCTGTGATACAGAGTGGTCTTTCTCAACTCCTGGTCTTTAAAAATCAGCATCTATCATCCTCTTGGCACTAAATGAACGTTAAAAAATACTATTTAGAAGCAGTAGAACAAGGAATAGACATTTCCTCAATTAGAGAACAATGGAGACAAAACACACTGAAATAAGTGTCACAGAGGAGAAACATGCCATAAACAATGCATATTAATATTTTATTTTTAAAAGGGACGGTATGCATGAGAAGCATTGCCATTGGAAGAACCAATGCTTTCTGAGAGATTATTTAAAGAGTCTGTAGAGCGTTGTTGTTGTTCAGTCGCACAGTCGAGTCTGACTCATTGTGACCCCATGGACCAGATCACGCCAGGCCTTCCGGTCTTCCGCCGTCCTCTGAAGTTTGCTCAACTTCATGTTCGTTGCATCTATGACACTGTCTAACCATCTCATCCTTTGCCGTCCCCGTCTTCTTTGACCTTCAATCTTTCCCAGCATCAGGGTCTTCTCCAGTGAGTGCTCCCTTCTCATTTGGTGGCCAAAGTATTTGAGCTTCAGTTTCATTATCTGGCCTTCCAGGGAACAGTCAGGGTTGATTTCTTTTAGGATCGACTGATTTGATCTTCTTGCAGTCCAAGGGACTCTCAAGAGTCTTCTCCAGCACCATAGTTCAAAAGAATCTATTCTTCGGCGCTCGGCCTTCCTTATAGTCCAACTCTCGCAGCCATACATGACTACTGGGAATACCATTGCTTGGACCATGCGTATTTTTGTTGGCAGGGTGATGTCTCTACTTTTTATCATGCTGTTTAGGTTCGCCATCGCTTTCCTCCCAAGGAGCAGGCGTCTTTTAATTTCATGGCTGCAGTCACAGTCTGCGGTGATCTGGGATCCCAGGAACGTGAAGTCTGTCACTACTTCCACAGCTTCCCCTTCTATTTGCCAAGGAGTGATGGGGCCGGATGCCATGATCTTAGTTTTTTTGATGTTGAGCTTCAAGCCCACTTTTGCGCTCTCCTCTTTTACCCTGAGCAAGAGGCTCTTTAGGTCCTCTTCACTTTCTGCCATTAGAGTGGTATCGTCTGCATATCTGAGGTTGTTGATCTTTTCCCCAGCAATCTTAATTCCCGCTTGTGATTCATCCAGGCCAGCATTTCGCATGATGTACTCTGCATATATATTAAATAAGCAAGGTGACAGTATACATCCTTGTCGTACTCCTTTTCCTATGCTGAACCAATCAGTTGTTCCATATCCGGTTCTAACTGTCGCTTCTTGGCCCTTATACAGGTTTCTCAAGAGACATGTGAGGTGGTCTGGTACTCCCATCTCTTTAAGGACCTGCCATAGTTTGTTGTGATCCACACAGTCAAAAGCTTTAGCATAGTCAATGAAGCAGAAGTAGATATTTTTCTGGTACTCTCTTGCTTTCTCCATAATCCAGCGAATGTTGGCAATTTGATCTCTAGTTCCTCTACCTCTTCGAAACCCAGCTTGTACTTCTGGTAGTTCTCTATCCACGTACTGTTGAAGCCTAGCTTGTAGGATCTTGAGCATGACCTTGCTAGCGTGTGATATGAGTGCAATTGTGCGATAGTTTGAACATTCCTTGGCATTGCCCTTCTTTGGGATTGGAATGTATACTGACCTTTTCCAATCCTGTGGCCACTGTTGCGTTTTCCAAATTTGCTGGCAAATGGAGTGCAGAACTTTAACAGCATCCTCTTCTAAGACTTTGAATAGCTCAGCTGGGATACCATCACCTCCACTAGCTTTGTTGTTAGTAATGCTTTCTAAGGCCCATTTAACTTCACATTCCAGGATGTCTGGCTCGAGGTCAGTGATTATACCGTCGTGGTTGTCAAGGACATCGAGGTCTTTCTTGTATAGTTCTTCTGTGTATTCTTGCCATCTTTTCCTAATCTCTTCTGCTTCTGTTAGGTCCCTACCGTTTTTGTCCTTTATCATGGCCAGCTTTGCATGGAACGCTCCCTTGATTTCTCCAACTTTCTTGAAGAGATCTCTAGTCCTTCCCATTCTATTGTTTTCTTCTATTACTTTGCACTGTTCATTCAGGAAGGCCTCCTTATCTCTCCTTGCTGTTCTCTGGAAATCTGCGTTCAGTTGGGTAAATCTTTCCTTTTCGCCTTTGCCTTTCGCTTTCCTTCTTTCCTCTGCTATTTGTAAAGCCTCATCAGAAAGCCACTTTGCTTTCTTACATTTCTTTTTCTTTGGGATGGTGGTGATTGCTGCCTCCTGTACGATGTCACGAACCTCTGTCCATAGTTCTTCAGGCACTCTATCTATCAAATCCAGACCCTTGAATCTATTCTTCACCTCTACTGTATATTCATCAGGGATGCGATCTAGGTCAAACCTGAATGGCCTCGTGGTTTTCCCAATTTTCTTCAGTTTAAGTCTGAATTTTGCAATGAGTAGCTCATGATCTGAACCACAGTCAGCTCCAGGTCTTGTTTTTACTGACTGGATAGAGCTTCTCCATCTTTGACTGCAAATTATATAGTCAATCTGATTTCGGTGTTGCCCATCTGGTGATGTCCATGTGTAGAGTCGCCTCTTAGGTTGTTGGAAAAGGGTGTTCGCTATGACCAGTGTGTTCTCTTGACAAAACTCTGTTAACCTTTGCCCTGCTTCATTTTGCTTTCCAAGGCCAAACTTGTCTGTTATTCCAGTTACCTTTTGACTTCCTACTTTAGCATTCCAGTCCCCTATGATGATGAGGACATCATTTTTTGGTGTTAGTTCTAGGAGGTGTTGTAGGTCTTCATAGAACCGGTCCACTTCAGCCTCTTCTGCATCAGTGGTTGGGGCATACACTTGAATTACTGTGATGTTGAATGGTTTGCCTTGGAATCGGACAGAAATCATTCTGTCATTTTTGAGATTGTATCCCAGTACTGCCTTTTGCACTCTCTTGTTGACTATAAAGGCCACACCATTTTTTCTACGAGATTCCTGGCCACAGTAGTAGATATAATGGTCTTCTGAGTTAAATTCGCCCATTCCTGTCCACTTTAGTTCACTGATTCCTAGGATATCGATGTTCAGTCTTGCCATCTCATTTTTGACCACGTCAAGCTTACCTTGATTCATAGATCTTACATTCCAGGTTCCTATGCAGTATTGTTCTTTGCAGCATCGGACTTTCCTTTCACCATCAGACACATCCACAACTGAGCGTCCTTTCGGCTTTGGCCCAGCCGCTTCACTCTTTCTGGGGTTACTTGTACTTGTCCTCTGCTCTTCCTCAGTAGCATATTGGACACCTTCCGACCTGAGGGGCTCATCTTCCGGCGTCATATCTTTTAGCCTTTTGATACTGTCCATGGGGTTTTCTTGGCAAAAATACTGGAGTGGGTTGCCATTTCCTTCTCCAGGTGGATCACGCTTGGTCTGAGTTCTCTGCTGTGGCCTGTCCGTCTTGGGTGGCCCTTCACGGCATAGCCCACAGCTTCATTGAACTGCGCAAGCCCCCTCGCCACGACAAGGCAGTGATCCATGAGGGGCCACAAGTGATGGGCCACTACATAAAAGTGCCTAACATCTGGTGACACTCTGGACAAAACTCTATGGTAGAATTAGCTTCAAACCATAGAGTTTTGCCCCCAAAACAGAGTGTAGCCCCCACGATGTCACCAATATGTGTATGTCACTTTCGGGTGATGTAGGCACGTCACTGACATCCCTGACGTGTACGTCACCTGGAGGGGGCATAGGAACGTCACGCTTCTTCAGAGGTGGAATTTGCTCCTCCGAGTCCAAAGCCACCACCCCAGGGCTCAGGGAGGCAAGGGAACATTTCGGCCCGGCCCCCCGGCCGTCGCCGCCATTGCAGCTACCGCCGACAGCGCCAGCGGCCATAACTTTTTAAAGAGCCCCCAAGGAGAGTTGGGGGAGCCAGAATGACCTCTCGCGTGTGATGTCCAAGCGGTTGCCGCTCGGACATCACACATGAGTGGAATTTGCCCCTCCGAGTCCAAGGCCACCACCCCAGGGCTCAGAGGAATCCATGAGGATCCCTGCTTCAGAATCATGTTTTTGCAGAATGCTGTCACCACGAAGCCGTGGATCTGTGATTTTTATGGTGCAAGCTGTGGACGTGCTATGTGATTTGATGGTGGGTTTGGGGTGACCCAGTTGAAAAACCCTGAGGATCTATGAGGATCCCTGCTCCAGAACCATGTTTTTGCAGTTTTGTGGTGCCATGAATTCGTGGGGGCATGATTTTTGTAGTGCTTCCTATAGTCTACACACGGTCTACAATATGATGTTGGTTTTATTTCATTCAAGTGTAGAAATCATATGAATTCATGAGGATCCATGTAGATCCGACTTCTACCCTTTTCCCCTTAGATGATACTATTTCCTCCTGTGTCTTGCAGTAACAGCATTCACAGGCGCGTTGTCAAACGTCGTGCAATTAGCGGGTCCGGGAAATGGCTGGAGGGAATGCGAGCGACCATGCCGACCCGAATTTCAGTCACGATCTGGGACTCAAAAACACGCGACAGGTGTGTTTTTTTCTCCTTCTTCAGCCTGACCACGACAAAGCCTGGTGCGGTTGTGGGAAGAGCAGGCGCGCGCATTCGGAAACCGGGAGGCGGCTGTGCCCCGGAAGCGGAAGCTGCGCTTCAGTAGCAACATTCGTGTGCGCGCTCTGCTTTTCCGGTCGGCTGGCGTGGGGGAGCTGAGCGTGGCGCTGTCGGTACCATGAGCGTCCCGGCTTTCATCGACATCACGGAGGAGGATCAGGTGGGAACGGGGAACGGCGGCTCCTTCTCGTCAGCCCCCCACGCCCACCCCCCGGGACTTTGGCGGGCAACGGTGGTTCTGTGGGAACGCTGGCTGTCAACGTGTTCCCCCCCTTCCTCCCCGAGAGCGGAGCGGGTGGCGCGGCTGCCTCTCTGCTTCCACCAAGGGGGGGGGGGGGGAGTGGTTGCTGCTGCCTGTGAGCAGCAGAAGAGGCCGAGTGGATTGTTAGCGAGCGGAGGCGCTCGGCTTTGTCCATTCCTCGCTCGCTGGCTCCTCCTCCCTTCGGCGATGATCTTCTCCCGAGCTTGTCCTGAGGCCGGCCCGAAAAGGGCACTTGGCAGAGCCAGTCTGACTGGCTCCAGCACCCTAGAAATTGTGCTTCAAATGGCAGTCCTGACTAGAGCACAGAAGTCTGCAATTAAAAGCAACCAGTGCCCGAAGGAAAGAGGGAGCTGCAGGAGTTTTCCAGCGGCCCCCCATCCTGGAGTTTCTCAGCCTTTCCCTCCCCTACATATGCATGAGTAGCTCTGGGGCAGGAAAAGGCAGCGGGGAAATCGCAGTGGTATTAGGAAGCAACTAGGAATATGAATAAGGGATGATAAGCAGATATTCTGTGACTACTACCTTCATAGGTGCAGGGAGAGGCCTGGAAATTGGGGGAGTCTTTTAAGCGTCCTGGAGCTGACCTCTTGAAATAAGGGCAATATAGCACTTGGTATGATATTAACAGGCCAGAGAGTACAGCTTCAGAGACTATTGACTATAGTTCTCAGCAGAGCACTTGCCTGAGCCCATGCCACATCTCCTGAAACATGACTGTAGCCCTATGGGAACTGCTGCTGTAGGACTGGCTAGCATTGGAGGTGTCATTTATTAATCAACTAAATGGAGTTGCATAGCTATGCACACACCAAGGGGGAAAGACAGTATTAAAAACATTGTGCTTAGTCTTTATATTGGGAATGGTCAAATACCTCTGAATATCAGTGTCATGAGGCAACACCATCGGACGGCCTTGGCTTCTGTGTCATGATGTTGGCCCTCCCAAATAACCAGTTGGCTACTGTGTAAAACAGGATGCTGCCCTAGCTAGACCACTGGTCTGATCCAGCAGGGCTCTTTTTATGTTCTTAAATAGGAATTATGGAATTTTATGTGCTTTCCAAAACAGCAAATTATTGGATTCCATATAAGGATTATAATTACATGAAATTGTGCTTGAATCATGTTAGGCTTTTTAAACATCTTATTTACCCCAGGGCTTTTACTTTATACAGGTCTGACATGAACTTTCTCTTAGACTTCTTTACTTAAACTCGTGTTGTATAGCCAGCATGGTGTAGTGGTTAAGAGTGGTGGTCTCTAATCTGGAGAATCAGATTTGATTCCCCAGTCCTTCACAGGAAGCCTACTGGGTGACCTTGGACCAGTCAGTTTCTCTCACAACTCTCTCAGCCCCACCTATCTCACAGGGTGACTGTTTTGGTGAAAGGAAGGTAAGGCAATTTTAAGCCACTTTAAGACTCTTAGGGGTAGAGAAAAACCAACTTTTCCTCATAAATTTTGTTTTCTGTTAACAGCATTTATGAATAAAATTATAAAGCAGCTTTTTATTGTTGAAGTTTTATATGAGTTGCTGGGTATATTGCAAGTATGCATTGATACCCCCTTCTCTTCTTTCATTAAAAGGCTGCAGAACTTAGGGCTTACCTAAAATCTAAGGGAGCTGAGATCTCCGAAGAGAATTCTGAAGGCGGACTTCATGTTGACTTGGCTCAGATCATTGAGGCCTGTGATGTGTGCCTAAAGGACGATGATAAAGGTTTGTGTCTGCAGGTTTTAGAAGGATATTGGTAAATGCTTGAATTGCTGACAATTGAAGGTTATGGTGCACTTTTGAGTTAAACAATTTGTCTGCCAGTTAAGAAACAGAGATTTCATTCTTCAAGGTAAATTGCAAGTGTTTTAAATTTGTTGGCAGATATACGTACATAATAGTGTATAGAATTACAGCACTAACTGTATATCTGGACAAGGTAGGCATGCTGCCACCATATACAGCCTTTAAATCCTATTTCTGCACCTAGAAGGATACCTGATCTTCATGAGGGGGGCATACAGAGCTTTCATTGCTTCTCAAGCCGTCTGGGTCCTTTTGACCTGATGTAGTTAGCTGACCCTCAAACCACTGTGACACATTTACCCACAGACTGGGTAAAAAGGAGCTTATTTCCCTACCTTGCAGGGGGAAGAAAAAAGATCAGAAGGATGTGGGGCAGAAACTGCACCCAAGCCTCAGAGGAAAACTAAACGTTTTATTGAGAACTTGGCTCTCTCTAACTAGATAGCAAAAATTAAGGTACATGTGTCAAGATAGCATGGGGTGCATCAGCTTGCAGTTCTTTGTCAAGTATTGGGTACATCTGTAATTTTGCTTGTATAAAACTCAAATTCCATAAATGTGTCAAATATTGCTGTTATGTTTTATATGCAAAGTTATGTTTTATGTTAAAGCAGTAAAAGTAGTTTGGGTTTGATAAGACAGTACATATTGCATGTATTTCCCTCCCCCCCCCCCCCCTTTTTTGGTTTTTTTTCCCTCCTCCAAAATACCAACAAACCTTATTTTTCTTGGCTTCAATATTTCTGGAAATTTTACATCCCTATGAATATCCTGCCTTTTGTTTTCCAAAAGGCATACCCAGGGTGGCTAATAATATTAAATACTGGAAATTTCCTCACTGTCTCTCCCTCTTCTGCAGAGTAGCTGGTTGCTGATGGGCACAGCAGGGAGCAGCTGCTGATGGAAGCCAGTGTATTAGTTCATAAAAGCATTTTTTGATATGCCCATGATTTTGGAAATGTTTTTCGGGGCATCTTGCTACCAACATAAAATGAATAATAATGGTTGGGATGCTTATAGGAAAGGACAAATTGGTCTTAATTATTTCTGTGGTCAAATATCCTTTTTTTGTTTTCTTTGTAGATGTTGAAAGTGTGATGAACAGTGTAGTGTCTCTGCTACTTATTCTGGAACCTGACAAGCAAGAGGCTTTGATTGAAAGCCTGTGTGAGAAACTGGTCAAATTTCGGGAAGGTGAACGACCATCTCTTAGACTGCAGCTGTGAGTGCCTTGTGTGGCTAATGGGAATAAAACATGCCCTTCCTCAGCATTATTAGAGATGAGAGATAGAATTTCGGTGGTAGAATGTGTAAGAGTTTTGAGTACTCGGGCACCATTTCAGAGTCTGAGAATGTAATTATTCTTACATTGAGTTGGATCCTATCATTTTGTTCCAGTGGTGGCTGCACATGGGTCTGCCTCGTGGCATTTTTTGATAGATGGATAGATGATAGATGGATAGATGATAGATGGATAGATAGATAGATAGATACCCTTTATTGGCATGTGAAAAATAAAAGTACATTAATTTTTTAAAAATACATCGATCATAAGGCCAACCAAAATGAAATAGATCAGTTAATAGCTTCCCTGGATCGAATTGCAGACTGGAGAAAACAGGCGACATTAGAGGTTAAGAGAAAGTTGTGTCCAGAAAGTAACCGCTGAACCTTGACACTGTCAGGAAGGCCACACCACGTACAGAGAAGGGAGTTCAGTTTTTTCCCCCCAGATCTTAATGTATAATGGACAGTTTAATAGAACATGGGAAACAGATTCAATAGCACCCAGAATACAGGGGCATCGTCTAAATTCATATGGGATTTTTTGACATCTTCCGAAGAAGATGGCCGATGGCAATACATTATGTCTGGCCAGCATAAATGACCTTCTTTGATGGGGATCAGTTAAAGAACAGAAATAAGAGGCTATCTGGCCAGGTATCAGATAATTCCAGATGAATTGGAGAACAAGTTTTCCTAGCAGCCTCAGTCAGGCACTGCAATTGGATATTTAACCGCCTATGTTTAATTATCTGAAATGCTGTTGAGGCAGATGATAAGTAAAGCGAATCTAGAGGTATACCTATAGACCTAATTTTGTTAAGGACTAATTTCAACCAGTTAGATTCATGGTAATCTGTTAACATTAGGAAAGTAAGAGAATCAGAATTAAACAAAAGGTGAAGCCAAAATTTGATTGTCAAAAATCAGGCCTGAGTTTCTAGCAGCATCTGGCCGGTTTCAAGACAAATCACAGCGTATGGAACACAGGGAGACCAAGGATTTTGTGGTAGAAAAAAAGATTGTAGTCCCTCATCTGATTGTTTGGTTGCACTTATCCACATGGGAGCTCCATAAAGGAATTGTGGGACGGATTTTGCGTTAAAGGCTTTTAAAGCCATGGGAACATACCTATTGCCTCTCGGATAGAAAAAACAGGCAATGGCAGTAGCACTATTCCTTGCTAGGTTGGAGGCATATTTGCGGTGTGTAGCCCAGCTCCCATTGTAGTAGAAGTTGATCCCCAAATATTTGAAGGATTTAATCTGCTCAATTAAATTTCCCTGAATTGTCCATACGAACTGTTTCCAAGATTTAGCAAAAACTACGATCTTTGTTTTCCTGTGATTCGGTCTTAGCCTGTTGTTCTTGCAATAGGTCAAGCACTGATGTAAAAGATGCCTCCCCCCCAATTCGGGAACATGAAAGTAAAACAGCGTCGTCTTCATATAAAAGGATTGGAATATGGCGTTGACCAATTTTGGGGAAGTGTCCATCAATTTCAGACAGAACTGGGGCCAGGTCGTTTAGAAACAGATTAAACAACGAGGGGACAAGGATGCAACTCTGTTTTGCACCTTTACAGATCGGGATTTTTGGAGTTAGATTTCCTTGATGATTGAATTTGACCTGACAGCTAGTGTGTGTATAAAGTTTCTTAATTTAAAAAAGTAATCTGGGCTCCATATTCATCCCTGGAACAGTTGTTAGAGATTGATTGATGGTCAACAAAACCTCAGCCCTCAACTGTGAAGTTGTTATCGTGGAATATAGCTGGATAGGGTAGTAAGAAATTGGATCATGACTTTTTTTCCTATCTAAAGCAATTCGAGACTCTTCTATCAGTAAATAGGACTGCTAGAGTATGTGGGGCTCAGTTAAAAAAATCTCGATTGCTTCAAGATTCTTTGATGCAGAATTGAGTTGATGCGGCCATACCTGTCAGTTTAAAAGTTTTTAATGCTTGTGGTTATTCTAGTGGGGTTTAGTTTGTTGTATGTTCTTTCCATTAATGAATTACAAACACTGAGAAAATTAATTAACTTTTATTATTGCCTAGGCTGAGTAATCTCTTCCATGGCATGGATAAGAATACCCCTGCCAGGTATACAGTCTATTGCAGCCTCATTAAAGTAGCCTCCACCTGCGGTGCTATACAGTACATTCCGACTGAATTGGAGCAGGTAAGCAGTTGGATAGTGCTTGCATATTAACTGTATAAGTTCTTGATCAAGGAAATCTTTATTGTGTCGTCATACTTTTTTGTTTTGATGTGTTTTTGTTTGATGCAGTTCTCTCTCCTGGATTCCAGGATCCAGAAGGTCTTTTTAAAGGAAAATGTACAGCCATGAATACTGTCTGGGATCCAGAGAACAGCTACGGGCATGCTCAAAAGCTTGAATATACTCAGTGGATTTTTAATTTGAACTGCTTAACTTAATGGTGTACTATATACTGCTTTGGAAGTTCCCCTCATTTTCAGAATTGTACTACAGTGTGACATAGAAGGCAGCTGCTTTGAGAAACACAAGCCAAAAGTTGCTTATGATACTTCAAACTAATTGCATACAGTTCTTTGGGTCCCAACCACAGAAACCTCTGCTTAAGGGTTGCTGCCCTTAATTGGGATGTAGGACAATATATTCTAACTTTCACATCCTCATGATCTGTTTTTAAATATACTTGCATTTCAAAGTTAAAATGGTATTCATTTTTCTCAACGGCCAAATCCATCTTTGAAAGCAGTTTAAAATCTTTTTTTATAGGTTCGAAAATGGATTTCAGATTGGAACCTCAACACAGAAAAGAAACATACTCTTCTTCGCTTATTATATGATGTGTTAGTGGACTGCAAAAAGAGGTAATCAACACTAAATACTAGAATATATTTTATTTTTAAAAAATTATTTTATAGTCTGCCTTTTTCACTGTGATTTAAGGCAGATTACACTAATGCGGGGGGGGGGGAGCATGGCAGTTTGGCCCAGGGCAAAATAATGCGCGGCCGCCCGATCACAGGTCCCGTCGAGGTCCCGTGGGTAGGGGCGAGGTGGCAATCACGCGACAATCCTGCAGCAAAGAAGCGGCGTGGTGCGATCTCACCAACGGCATGCGCGATTCTGTGGAGCAACGGAACTTTCGCTTTCCTCTTCGTGCGCATGCGCCGTTGGGTGCTTGTGTGCATCCTGTGGAGACTTGGGGGGAAAACCCTGTTTGCGACAGGACATGGGCGGGCGCCGGATGCTAAGGACTACCACTGGAAACGCGATCAGACGCCAGCCCTTGCCCCGCGGTTTCCGGAAACTAGTGCCTCGGAGGTACTAGTTTTTAACTCCGCATCTTCGGCGGGAAGCCTCAGGTTCGCCATGGGAGCTCTACGCTTCCCAGATGTTGCGGTGTGATCGCGCCTGGAAAATCCGCCTATCATCCGTCTCAGTAGCTTGGCTAATGCTCCGTGTGACCGCAGCCTATGTGCAATTAATAGGAAAACAATGTAAACAGGTGCTTGGAGTCAGGCTAACAAGCTGAAACTTAAAATCCTGACAAAACAGAGGTTCTACTAGTGGGGGTATGGTCGAATCCAGGAATGGTGCTACCTCCTGTTCCAGATGGGGTTGTGCTACCCCTAAAGGAGAAGATTCATGTACTGCTGAACTAGGCCTCCTGTTGGATAGGGCTGGGGCACCTTTCACCAGCTTTGGCTGGTGAACCAGCTGGAGCCCTTTGTGTTCAGGAAAGATCTTGCTACTGTGGTGCATGCCCTGCTGGCATCTAGATTATATTACTGCAGGGCGCTCTACATGAGGCCGCCTTTGAAGACTCTGTGGAAGTTACAGTTGACACAGAATACTGACTAGAATGGCTCATAGGGATCATATCACCTGTCTGCACTGGTCCAGATTTGCTCCTCCTCCTTGTTGTGGACAGGTAAACCGCCTCTTTGAATGGCCATGGAGAGATGTCTTGATTTATGATAGTCAGTGAGCTCATTAATGTAGACTTACATAATTTTACCATCCAAGATGGACAAGGTCCAGGGCACAAGTGGTGGTCTTCACAGATCATAACAAGAGGATACGGGCCCTGCTGGATTAGACCAGTGGCACATCTAGTCCAGCATTCCTGTCTTAGTGGCCAACCAGTTACTCTGGAGGGCCAACAACTGACACCGGTATTCAGAGGCTTATGGCCTCTGAATGTAGAGGTTCCCTTTAGTCATGATGGCTGTTCACCACTGGGAGACCTATCCATCATGAACGCGTCTAATTCCCATTTAAAGCTGTCTGTGCTTGTGGCCATTATATCCTCTAGCAACAAATTCCATATTTTAATCGATCCCATGATCCTGTCAATTGCCATCATAGTAACTGGGTCAAAATAGACTGTAAGCAGACCAGATGATGTATTAAGCATTTTTTTTTTAGCATTTGCCTCTGTTTAATTAGCATTGTGGTAATTATTGTGTTAATGAACAGAAAGATTTCAATTTCATTTTTAAAGCAGGAAGCCTTGTGAATTTTCAAATGAAAGATGGGCATAATGAGCCAAGAATAGGAATATAAAGCTTATTTGTTTTTGGGATTGTGAATTTTTAGTCGATTGACTGGGAAAGTACTTTGTAATGGCTTCTAAAACGAGCATTAATATGGCTGTTTTTTTCATGGAGCATGCAACAGATATTATGCACGACTAAGTGACAGTTAAGAACTGTTTAGAAAAAAAGTCTTGCAAAATAACGTCTTGCTTTTTATGGGGGTGGGGGGGCTTACAATACAATACCTTTGCTTCTTACCTTATGGTAATGGTGCATTTTGCTGATTTGCTAACATATGGCAGACGTTTAAGCTACTATAATGTATATCTGTGCTTATGCATTGCTGTGTTCTGCTAAAAGAATTGTGGTTTTTTTATCATGATACTATAAAAACAGTATTAGTTTGCTCTCTTGGACCTGTAAGAACCATTGTTGAATGTAGGTGCATGACATGTGGATTTCCTTATCAACCCTATAAATTGCTCCTAATGATGGTGTGGTGGGAGAAAAGGGGGAGACCTGGGAGAAAAGAGGGGGGGGAGCGCTGAGGCAACTGCCTTCTGGACTGAAGAATACCCAGTTCCCCACTCTGTCCTCTCCTATAGATTTGTTATACCCCAACTGCCCACAATAAAATAAAAAAGGGGATGTAATGTGGTCCTTAAAGGTCGCTTATTTGCAAACCAGCTAGACTAAGGCTGTACTTATACGTGAGGCAAATAGAGATCACTGCTTCTTAGATTTTTGACTTGACAGATGAGACACAAATGGAGAGGAACAACAAAGGTTTATTTAACAGAAAATAAAGTAACAAGGTAACTATGATGTGTGGATAACTTAAATACATAAAGTAAAGCTGGGTTTCAAATAAAGTAAATAACCCCTGAGAGGGAGATTTGATTCCCCTTTCTCTGGACAGGTTCCAGGCTGCTCTTTTCTCTCACAGAGCACCTTACCACACCGGTTAGGAATGATGGACCCTTAACAGGATGCTTATTTGTACCACTAAAATAAGCTTTCTTCTGTAAGCTGACCCCCAGGCACTATCTAATAAGCCAAACAAAAGCCTGGCTAAAATGACACTCCTTTCCAGAGCCATGAAATCCCTGTCCAAAAATAAAAAAGGTTTCTTCACTCTTCTTAAGCTGAGGCTGGCTCACTCCCCATCCAGTGGAGTTCCACTGTCTGACAATCACTTGGATTGGCATGAAGTCTAAATCACAAGGATTGGTTCAAAGCCCTCGAGGACAGGCAGGACGTTTTACAGATTATTGCCACAGCGGTCTATAGACAAAAGTGGAAACTAAGTTAATCTTGATATAAAAATCAGTGGAACCTTCTCAGGACCTAAGAGTTTTAAACAAATGCCATTCTTCAAAAAACAGATGTAGAAAGGCAGCAGATTTCATTTGACAGGCATGCAGTTCCCTTGATAGTAGAATACGGCCCATTTTTTGTTCTTTGTTTTGTATGCATTTTACCCCTGGTAATTTTTAGGATAAAACTAGTGCAATTATTTTAAACCTTAATTATACCACTTAAATTAGCAGATGATACTCTGAGTAGCAATAGAGGTTTCACTAACAGAAAATCTCCCTCCAGACTATATATGCTCCTTTATACAAATTCCAACCTTATTCTACATTTGAATGAATGTAGCCAGATGTTTTATAGTAAACTAAGAATAAGGCCTATTGTGGAAATAAATACAACGAGCTCTAGAAAGAGGCTCTGGGCGGGTGCCCTGACCTTGGGCATTCAGCATCAATTTGCTGTGGTGACCTTAGCAGGGTATAATGACACAGAGCCCACCATTTTCTCCAGGGGAGCTGATCTCTGCCACCTGAAGAGCAGCTGTAATTCTGAGTGATCTCCAGCCCTCACCTGGAGATTGTCAACAATGGTTCCCCAGAGGCATTGTGCCTGTCTGAGGTCCCACCCCTCCTCAAACTCCACCCCTCAAGTCTCCACGAATTTCCCAGCCTGGAGTTGGCAACCCTATTTCCTTCCCATTCAACCAATAACCTACCTTTATCTGCCCTTCTGACTTAAGCTCTCCATCTCCTTTCCCTCCTTGCAGCTTTTACCCTGGAAAAGCACAATCTTTTGATCTGCACAGCAACCTTGTGAGGTAGGTTAATCTGAAAGTCTGTGACTGGTTTGCAATCACCTACTCAGTTTCTACAGCAAGAACTTGGGTCTGGGAGACCCTGCTCTGAAGTGCTAACTGCTATGTCACATTACCCTGCTACCTCAGCAGGGTATAATAACACAGAGTCCATCATTTTCTCCAAGGGAACTGATCTCTGCCATCAGGAGAGTAGTTATAATTCTGAGTGATCTCCAGCCCTCACCTGGAGAATTGCGACAGTGGTTCCCCAGGAGGAACAGTACAGTCTTTCTCTGCAGTGGGGACCAAAGCAGCTTATATCATTCTCTCCCCCTTTTGATCTGCACAACAACCCTGTGAGGTAGTTTAGGCCAGGGGTGGCCAAACTTGCTTAATGTAAGAGCCACATAGAATAAATGTCAGATGCTTGAGAGCCGCAAGACATGAACAAATATTACACACGTTTTTACTGACAAATATGCAAACTTGCTTTTTTATTAACAAGCAGGAGAAGCTTCTTCGTCAGAAGAGACAGTCGGCAGTGGGCGGGAGGGAGAACCGGGCCCAGCACCCAGCCAATGGCACACGAGTACTCTTGAGTGGCAGTTGACAGGCCAATGGCTGATGGAGCACACAGCACAGCCAGTGGGAGAGCTGGAAAGTGCCAATACGTTAGGGCTTTTATATATATCAGATCATGTAAAGAGATTTTCACCCGAAGGACCACTTTCTGTAAGTGGCAGATGATTTATCAGTCTAAAGGTATAAACTGAACTGTGAAAACAACATTTGAAAGACTGAATGTTGTTCCTTTACTACTTTGCTACAAATAACAGTCAAAACCATTCACTTGCATTTTTCATTTCATTCATAACTTGCTAGGGGTTTTAATTATTTGAGTATATTGTTAAAATTATTTTCAAAGGAATTTTTCTCTCCACAGTGACAGTGCAGCAAAAGTAATGGTAGAGTTGCTGGGAAGTTACACAGAGGACAATGCTTCTCAGGCTAGAGTTGACGCTCACAGGTAATGGAAAAATATATTCAGGGTTGCTTTCAGTATTTTTGTGTTATGCATGCCCCAAAGAACCTTTAAAATGCAATCCAAAATGACATCATTCTCTGCCCCCACCCCACCCCCCGACCCACTACGTTCATGGTATGCTTTATATCGTTGCAAAGGAGGAAGCTGAGCTGCCTTAAGTTCCCAATGACATTTGGACATTTTGTGCATGGCTGATGACAGAAATTAAAAGTATATGTTAATTTTTTAAGCGTGGACACCCTTATTTTCTAATTAGGTGTATTGTCCGAGCCCTGAAGGATCCAAATACCTTTCTTTTTGATCATCTTCTTGCCTTGAAACCAGTTAAGTTTTTGGAAGGAGAACTTATTCATGATGTAAGTATTCAAATACTAATTGTAAAAGTTAAATATTTCCAGAGTAATGTACAATGAGGTATACTTAAGAATTTCTGTGAGACTTAAGCTCCTTCTGCGTTATGACCAACACTCCCTCTAAGGAGTGGAGTCTTGTGAGCTGCTGGCATTAAAGTTGTGAGCAAGCGATTTGGCTACTGCGTAAATTAGCTTGCTCTGGAGCCATCCTTCCTGAGCTAAGACAAAAATCTGTGAGCCGGAGGCTAAAAAACTGTGAGCTAGCTCACATTAACTCAGCTTAGAGGGAACACTGGTTATGACATATATTGTAAGTTTTCATTTTAGTTCACAAATGACTTCAGTTGACAGCTTCTAATGCATAAAACATATTTCATATTCAAGCAGGTACGTGTTCACTGTAGTCAGTCTCAGTATGCACATTTTCTACATCTGTGGGCTCATTCAGATTATGATTATCTGATATTTTACGATCATCTTCTGCCATTATACCATCTTACGGTCATGTGAGGAACTGCTTCCTTGGGGAAAAAAACTCAGAGAAAGCCAGAAGCTTTTCACACAGGGTTACTTTAAAATACTTTTCACCTTGCAATTATTTCCTACTGATCCTCTTATAGATTTCTATCTGGTTAAAGGGCAATAATCAATAAATAGATTTTTTTTTTTTAGTTCAAGAAATTAACTAATAGAATGATCAGGATTTATGAAAGTTATGACTCGAATGGATTTTTTTCCCTTTGCTGTTAAGAATACTAGAATTACTATTACTATAAATACTAGAAATATGCGTTCCGTGCGCCTTGGTGTTTAGTCATGCTGGCCACATGACCACGGAAACATCTTTGGACAGTGCTGGCTCTTCGGCTTTGAAATGGAGATGAGCACTGCAACCCTAGAGTCGGACTCGACTGGCTTTCGAGCAAGGGAACCTTTACCTTTATACTAGAATTTAGGGTCTTCCACAGAGAGTGCTTTACTCAGTCCATGACTGTATTATGGAATTAACTGCCATAAACATGCTACAATGGCTACCAGCTTTCTAAAGGAGGAGGAGTTCATGGACAAAAGGTGAACAGCCTTAATGGTGGTGAAAAGTGCCATCAAGTCGCAGCCAACTTGTGGCGACCCCGTAGGGTTTTCAAGACAAGAGACATTCAGAGGTGGTTTGTCAATGCCTGCCTCTGCATCATGACCCTGGTATTCCTTGGAGGTCTCCCATCCAAATACTGACCAGGGGCTGACCCTGCTTAGCTTCTGAGATCCGATGAGATTGAGCTAGCCTAGGCTATCCAGGTCAGGGTGAATAGCCTTAATAACTAGATAGAAAAACTTCACAGTCAAAGAGTGCATGTTTCTCAATATGAATAACAGATGCAGTGTACATTACCATTTGTTTGTTTGATTGATATTCCACTTTTTATCTTTAAGGTCCTTCATATTATGCTTGTGACTATCCAGCATAGTGTGGCTGCCTTCTGTTAGGAACGCAATGCTAGGCTAGATACCCCTTGGGCAAGGCAGTTCTCGTACTCGTACGGAACTCTTTGAAGTCAGTAAATAATGTTTTGTAAGCATTATTTGGATGTCATAGCTAACTTCTTTAGGCATTGCAAATTTCTGTTCTTGATGTTAAATATCTGTGAGACACTTGATGAATAACATGAATTTTTAGTTTATCCTGCTTGAACTATTCTGATTATTGATGTTTTCCTTTAAAGCTTTTGACTATTTTTGTGAGTGCTAAGTTAGCATCCTATGTCCGATTTTATCAAAACAACAAGGACTTCATTGATTCTCTTGGTAAGTTTTTATTTTTATGTGTGTCTGATTATCTTTTCTGTGGTGTAGCTCCAATGTCAGTTTAATGTGGCCTTGTCAGAGGAGGAGAAGACCCTCTTACTGGCTCTTCTGGTATAATGGAAGGGCTCTTAACTATGTTGATACGTGGTATTTGTCTTGGGTTCTTCAGTTCTGCTTGTGGGTTTCTCTGTGGGTTTGAGGAATTACTTACTCTTGGGTGCTTTCAGGGGTTTTTAAAGCCGGATTGGTGCTTTGGCTGTAAATTCAGCTATCTGTCCTCATTTCCTTCAAATTCATTAACCAGTTGAGAATCAGGTACACCACTGAGTAGATGGCTTTCTGCTGCTTGGAGAAGCCTAACTTAGCAGATGGGGGCTATCTTGTCTGATTCCTTCCCATTATGTGGAACATCTAAGCTCTTTTAGAAGTCTAATTCCCCCTTGACTGATGTGACATTTGTTTACTCTAAATGAGGTGCTCACTTTTCTTTTGCACTGCACTTGCTGTGTCTTTTGATTGATTTTCATGCATAGAGGTCATCTTTTGATGTTGTAGTAGTGAATCAATTAGCTTTAATAGTAGGACACAGAACCTGTGAATCCTGAAATACAGACTGTATTCAGACACCACATACAAGCCTCAGTTTGTTGTGAGAAGGACAAGCATGGTATAATCATGGGCTCATCCATTCAAAGGGCTGTGGTGCAGACCCATCTCTCTGCAGTATAAAAATGTGTAGCAGAGAAACTGATTGGTAGATATGCAAAGGATAAAATGTTCTGTTAGAAGCTCAGGTTAGCCTGATCTCATCAGATCTCAGAAGCTAAGCAAGGTCAGCCCTGCTTAGTATTTGGATAGGAGACCTTCAAGGAAGTCCAGGGTTGCTACGCAGAGGCAGGCAATGGCAGACCACTTGTGAATGTCTCTTGCCTTGAAAACCCTACAGGGTCTTCATAAGTCAGCTGCCACCACCAATGCTCTGAATAGGATCAAGTTGTCAATCGACCAGATTTTTCTGACAAAGATGAAGTACAATAAGAGAGAGTGCTTCCGAGTGTTCTTAAGCACAAGTTTGATTTTTGCACTCGTCTTAACAAACCACATTCTATCCCAGTTAATGTTTCCTAGAATGAAGCTTTGTGATGGAATGTTAATGTCAGCACCCTTTTATTTACACACGGTGGAAAAAGGAGTAGTAATTAACACTTTGGCACTCCTCCATTGATGTGTAATTGACTGTTTCAAAGGAGCACTGGCTCATAAGCTATTGTATGCATGAAAATTACTTTTTCTGTATTGCAGCGTTTTAGGACAAGGGTCAGTGACAATGCAGAAATTGCTCAATGATGCAGGCTTTTATATTACTGCATTAAGGTTTAGATATACTGGTAATGAATAAATGTTTCCATAGAACTGTTTTTTTTTTTTAAGTGACAGTACATGTTGGCTTAATACAAGAAAATTGTATAATAGACTTTTAAAACAAAATTTTGGGACCACAGTTAACAATAGCTCTATCTGTGCCTTAATGGATTGAGGTAGAATCCTGAAAAGATTCCGTTCTCAGTAACTGAGAGTATTCTAACACATTACTATGCATTGGTTTTGTGGCTAGTTAAGTGTATTCAAGGATTGTTTCCCCATGTGGGAATTAAGCATGTTTAATTTTACATTGGATCTGACCCTTTGTGTAATTTTAAAAACTTTTTGATAACCCAATAATGAGGCCAGGGTTTTTAAATTTTGTCCTGGATTGTAAGGAATACCATACATGATTAACTTGCTGCAGTCCCTTATTTCAAACTGATCTATTCTCTTTCTCTTCCTTTTTTTTAATCAACCAGCTAATTTTGTTTTGGTTCAAAATTCATTGCAAGGGCCCTGAACATGTAAAATCTATTTAGTAAGAGCTTCCACAGGTGGCTTCAGTTTGTTACAATTTGCTCTATTAATGCTGACAAGTTAGGCCAACAGTTGTATTACCGTATGTCAACTGTGAATCGCCCTAACGTGTTCACATTTAATTTGGTACTATGGGCAACCTTTTTATATTAGAAGGGTAATTAACACTTCATTTGCATTTGTTAATTAGGGTTTATGTGCACTAATTGATTTTTGGAGCTTGTAGATTTCCATTAAACCCAGTTAGCAATAGTTTCTGGAGCTTCTCATTCGCTTGAATTATGATGATCACATTTTGTTGAAACTGTGCCAGATAAATAGCCTGCATCATAATTACTCCTAATTAACACATTAGGCCTGATAGTAATGCGCTTCCCCGCTCTTCTATTCGTGTAACAATGTTATTAATTCCAAATATAAATATTTGTTGAGCACTCTGCTTATCCTGCCCATTCAGTTTTTCCAAAGTCTGAAATATACCTGGATCCATTTTACTGAAGTTTCATTCAAATTTCTGATACAGTTTGCAAATATTTGAATCAAAAGTATACATGTAAGCTTTACGTTTTCTTTTTATACATTGGTATCTATTGGGAACATCAGAAGTTTGCCTAAAGTCCTGGGAATGCTTAACACTTGGACAGAATTTTAAAAGGTGGCCGTAACTGCCCTCTTTTCTTCTTCCTCTCCCACACCCAGTGTAAGCAAAGGTTCATATTAATGAATCAAACATAAACTAATAGGCAAGTAACATCAAGTAGGAAATGAAAATGTGTCTTTGTATATATCATGATTGTAATCACTTCTGTAATTCTATGAAGAATTAGGGCATTTAGGGTTGAATCGTGAAACATGTACCCTTTAGAATGGACTGACAGATCACACTTTAAGAGTGTTTGAATTCTTTGTTTCCTCTTTTCTGAATTCTTATAGCATACTTGATATCTGTTGAATGAGGTTGTTCCCTCTTGCTAAGTAAGATCTGCGTTGTAGGAGAAAGGAGAGAAGATTGTAGCTCTGTGCTAGCTCTCTCTCAGTGCTGTAAAGTGGAGAGATAGTAGAGTGCAAGAAAGGTTACATAAGTATGTGAATTAATATAGGGGAAGTTAATAATTTTCATTAAAACATCTAACTTGTATCAGAAGCCTGTTTGGCTGCTTTTCTGTTACAAAACAGAAATCAGATTCTGACAGGTGTGTGTTGAATAAGTGTCATGTCTCAATTTTATTAACTCAAGAAGACCATACTACTGTTTTGTCTGCAAAACAAAAAATATTGTGTTACGTAGCCCATTCTACGTTAACCCACTTTTTCTCTATGCACACCAGAGTATGCTATCCCTTCTGTTCTCTGCATTATTATCAGTTTTCCTCCCTCATTCTGTCTGGCTTCAAGTGCTTCCTTCTGTCTATTTCTCATGGTTGGTGTAGGTGTGTCCACTCACATCTGTTGTAATAACCATTTTTCTTTCTCTTTCTCTTTGCACCCTATCAAAGGACTTTCTTCTTTCTTTGGACCACTTCAGGTTTCTTTGTGCTGCCTTCCCTTTTAACATCATGTTTCTCCACCCAAATCAGTTGAGTCTCCCACTCTTTCTTTCCCCACTTCAGACTTTATGTATCTCATTTGTGACTTCCGTCTTCCTTTTCATACCACAAGAGGCCACCCCCCCACCCTTTCCTTTGATTGGGATTCCCAACCGTCTAGCAAAAAAAAAAAAGTCGTGTCTGCTGTTGAACCCAGTGAAGCATCACACAACTCAAAGGCATAGCAGCTGGTCATTTGAAAAGTTGGCCAACTTATACTTGTCCTTATCCTCCAGGTCTTGTTATCTCCTAATTTTGTCTGTTTCTCCAAACCATAGTAGCCTGTGCATCTCTATTCTGTATCTGCTGCTGTGCTTGGCAAGAGTTTTTTAAAAAGGCTTTCATTTCCCCAGTAATTAATATGCTTGAGGAATTTCAGGCACATGCAAGCCATGTGTCATGGCTGGTTGACCGCAGTAGGCTGGCTCCACTGCGCACCTTTGACTTTCAAGAGAAGATTATTGCAGAATGCAAGCCTGTTGATGCCCCTTGTGTAGGCTGGGCAATGTACTATTCTGGAATTCTTCCCAAGACCCTGCAAAACTAAGGACTACAGTCAGCTTTCAGGCCTTGAGTTGCACAGACCCACAGTATGGCACTATGCTGCTGTTGTGAGAACTTTATACTAGTGTTAGAGCAGTGCTCATGTTTAGAATTAAGTTGACACAGGCCAATATAGGAAGTACCAACAGAGGTGACAAGAAATGACAAACACTTTTCTGCCAGGCTGCATCTACTCTTTCCTGAAAAACACTGCCCCTCTGGCTGGTTGATTTTTTTTGTGTGTGCGTGTTTTGTTTTGTTAGAGGGACAGTCCTCTGCCTCTGGTACAAAGTAACCTAAGAAATTTGACAGTATCCTAAATCATATGTAATAAAATATGAACATATTTTGTCTTTTATTTGTATGTATTGCTGAAAACTTATATTTCAGTGTTCTATAATGCAGGTTTATTACATGAACAGAATATGGCAAAAATGAGACTGCTCACATTTATGGGAATGGCAGTAGAAAACAAGGAAATTTCATTTGACACCATGCAGCAAGAACTTCAGGTTGGAGCTGATGATGTAGAAGCATTTGTTATTGATGGTAAGGAACAGGTGACTCAGAAGTAGGCTCTTATGTAGTTGAATATGTGGCACATTTTAAATGGATATATCCTTAACAGTAGAAGTACATTCTGCAAAATCTTTTTATATAGCTTTGCTATTCCAATGTACAAAATATTTTTATTTTTTAACTTAAATTAGGTGCATTGCGTATGGAGAGATGCTAATATATTCATTAATTATTTCCTTGTTAACATCACTTTCTCTACTTGCTCTATTGAAATAACCAAATGGAACATACTTTGAGAGGGTATATTTATATTGACCTGCTCTAGAGAATTTTAGAAACTCATATCACTTAATATTTTAATAATTGTATAGGCATTTTTCAACTTATTTTTCTTTTTCTGCAGCCGTAAAGACAAAAATGGTGCATTGCAAAATTGATCAAACACAGAGAAAAGTCGTGGTCAGGTGAGCCTTAAATCTTTCTGTGGAGTGACTTAGTGCAGTGCTAATTATAACGCTTATACATCTGTTTAATATTTTAACTAGAATCAAGATATTCCTATCCATTGCCTGTAGTTAAATAGTTGCTATTTATCATAATTTTATTAAAGCTCAGACTGAATGTGATTAGCTTATTTAATGAAAGAGTCCTATTTTCCAGCACATTTCATTTAATGGCTAAACAGTGGCGAGAATACTAATGAGTTTTGTCTCCCCCCCCCCTTTCTTTTTAAGTCCTGGTGAAGACCACAGATACCAGACTAGCTGGCAATATAAAGCATTGGTACAAAGAGTAGAATTTTTTCCTGGATGAAGCATTGTCATCCTGCTGTTTTTATTCTAAACAGATGTGTTGAAGAATAGCAAAGAATTTTTCTTAAGTGCAGCTTTAACATACTATTAATTCTTTTTTAAACTTATTTTCATTTAGTCACAGCACACACCGGACCTTTGGAAAGCAACAATGGCAACAGCTGTATGACATGCTAAACTCCTGGAAACAGAATTTGAATCAAGTGAAAAACAGTCTTCTCAGTTTGTCTGATACTTGATTCTTTCACCTGTGATGTGATTGCTCAAATGGAAGCTTAGCTACAGTAAACCGACTCAATTTGTGAAGTTTTTATTTGTTTTCAAAATATATGATTGGCATTAAATAATTTGAATTCCAGTATGCAAAAACAATAAATTTAAACCTAAAGAAATCTCAGATTTGTCCGGCTTTTATAATAATGAAAAATAGTTTGTATTCCTGCTTAAGCCGGGAAAGGAGCAGGGAGTCAGCAGGATGATAATAGTGCAAACTAATAGTATTCTGTGGCCTTTAATAACATTGGTAACTTTCAGGGGGGAAAGTCTAGGGTTTTAATTTAAAAGGCATACAAACTGTAGGAAGGTGTACTGTTTTCTTCATATGTGAGATTTTTACACACATTTCTCGGATTTCATAAAACATGGATTCAAAAAAAGTTACATTTCTGCTTTATTGGCTGTCATTGGTTTTTCTGGGTTGTCCTCATACTTTCTCTTTCTTGGCTGATGGAACTTCTCTAAATACAGAAATTTTTCAATGTTGTTGAGTTTTGTTTTTATGAGAACATTTTGGGAATTCCAGTCTCTTACTTCACTGTTGTCTGAGCTCTCATTTAACACAAGTGCACTTTGTTCAAAGATGAGTTGAGAAGACTTCTGTTGCAGACCTGGTAGACACTGTGTTTTGACCTAAAATACACATCATGATATCATCATGTATTTTAATAGTGAAGTAGACCAGATAGGAAGATACATAAATCCAGTGATTGAAGCTGTTGAACGGACAAGACAGATCTTTATACAAACCTGAAAACACCCCAGGTTTGCCAAAAAACATGTTGGATAAATCTGGTGATACTTAAATCTGGGGAACTGGAGCTGTGAATGGGCAAGACAGATCTGTCTACAAATCTGAAAATGCCCAAGGTTTGCAGAAAAATATAAAATCTAAAGCAAAATACATCAGAGAGGTTTTTTAAAAAAACCAAAATGATAAGAGTGCCTGCTGCTTTAAAAAAACATCATCTCAGTGGTTATTGCTATGCAATCATAGGATTCCAGACCTGGTTTCTGTGAGTAAAAGTCAGGGAGGAGGCAGGGTCCTTTCCAGAGCTGTTTTGGCCTTTCAGAAGGGCTTATCGGGGTCAGGTTCACCTGGCAGCATCCACTGGGTGACTTGATACTATATGATTTGCCTGACTCAACTAGGCCTAGCTGCTTGCTACTGTTCAGTGGCAGCCACCCCAGTAAAGCTAGTGTGGTGTAGCTGTTTCAGGGTAGGGTCTGGTAGACCCAGGTCTGAATCCCCATCTTGCTGTGGAAGCTCACTGGGTGCTGTTGGGGCAGTCACATACTTTCAGTCTAACCCATCTCACAGGGTTCTTGTGAGGATAAAAAGGAGGAGAAGAGAATAATGTAAGCTGCCTTGGTAGCCACTGTGGAGAAAGGTGGTGGATAAATAATATGGCTGAAAAGAAGGTAAGTTGGTGAATAGCTGACAAGAAGGAAATAAGGCAGGGAAAGGGGGGGAGGATATGGGGGTTGCCTGGAGGAAGGACAGATAAAATAATGTGTGTGGGATACAGCAGAAACTGAGCTGTGTCCCCCAACAACTGGAGGGTTTCCTACCATGCAAGTGGCCATGGCCCAAAGGCTGATATTACATAAATGGACCACAGTTTTCCTTGGGAGAGGAGAGGAGAGGAGAGAGGGAAAGCTGAAGATAGGGCAGATAAATGTAGGTTGACTGTTGTGTGGGAAGGAGAGAAGGAAGTAGGAAAGGGGGCGAGGCTATGGGAACTTTCAGGGAAGGGGAAGAGGAAATAGTTGAGAGAGGGAAATGAGATACCTCCTGCATGTCCTTCCAGGTTCCCACTGGTATATACTATTTAAAATGATATTTTCATGGTGGATTTGCCACTCCTATAGATTAATTGCATCTAAACATATATCACACAATATCATGCTGCTGCTGTACAGAATATTCCTGTTTATGTATTAGAAACAAGTGGGGACCCGCAAGAAACTTGCAGGAGCAGCTATCCCATTCCCCCCACCTTTGCATTCTCCTTTCTCCCTCTGCTTCTCTTAGTCACATGAAGCTGCCTTATCCTGAATCAGTCCCTTGGTCCATCAAAGTCAGTATTGTCTGCTTAGACTGGCAGCAGCTTTCCAAGGTCTCAGGCAGAGGTCTTTCACATCACCAACTGCCAGATCTTTTAACCAAAGATACTGGGGATTGAACCCGGGACATTCTGCATGCCAAGCAGATGCTCTACCACTAAGCCACAGCCCCTCCCCCATCTCTCAGTCTCTCACTCTTTGTCCCTCCTGCCACTCCAATTCTTTCCTCCATGCCTTTCACTCTTTTCCTGCCTCCCACCCCATCACTCTTTCTGCCCCCCATCACTCCCCAGCATCCCCCCCCCCGAGCAGCAGCAGTGGCAGCTATGCTTCCAGCCACCCACCTGCTTCCTCCCCTCCCCCCAAGCAGCAGCAGTGGCTTTTCAGGAGTTACAACAGATCTCTCCCCTACAGAGATCAGGTCCCCTTAGGGTTGCCAGTTCCAAGTTGGGAAAATTCCTGATGATTTGGGGGTGGAACCTTGGGAGGGTGAGGTTTGGGGAGGAAAGTGGTCTCAACGGGGTATGATGCCATAGAGTACACCTTCCAAAGCAGCCATTTTTTCCAGGGGAACTGATCTCTGTCATCCGGACATCAGTTACAATTCTGGATGATCACCAGCCCTCACCTGAATGTTGGCAAGGCTAGTTCCCTTGGAGAAAATGACTGCTTTGGAGGGTGGAGTCTATGGCATTATACCCTTCTGAGGTCCTTCCCCTCCTCAAACCCCACCCTCCCAAGGCTCCAACTTTGAAATATCCAAGAATTTCCCAACCTAGAGTTGGCAACATTTCCTTCCCACCCAACTGGTATTTCTGGCCACTGTGTGATACAGAGTGTTGGACTGGATGGGCCTTTGGCCTGATCCAACATTGGCGTCTCTTATGTTCTTAACCGACCTTTATGTTTCCCTCTGTCTTCAGCTTTCCATCTTCTCCCCTGCCCTGCCTCTGCAACTTCTATCTAGGAAAACTACAGTCTTTCTCCACAGTGGAGACCAAGCAGCTTCTCCTTTTTATCCACCCAACAACCCTGTGATGTAGAACAAAGTATGAGTCCAGTGGCACCTTTAAGACCAACGAAGTTTAATTCTGGGTATAAGTTTTCGTGTGCATGCATACAAAAGCTTATACCCAGAATTAAATTTTGTTGGTCTTAAAGGTGCCACTGGACTCAAACTTTGTTCTGTTGCTTCAGACCAAGACAGCTACCCATCTTAATCCAACTGTGAGGTAGGTTAGGCTGAAGTATGTGATTTGTCCAAAAGCACCCAGTCAGCTTCCACGCCATGATGGGGATTTGAACCTGGGTCTCGCAGACACTGCCTTTTGTAGGGTGGCTGCTGTTGAACAACAGCAAGCAGCCAGGCCCAGTTGAGTCATGCAAGTCAGGTAGTATCAAGTCACCCAGAGGGTACTTCCAGGCCTAGAGTTGCTAGCCTCCAGGTAGAACGTTGAGATCCCCCTGAATTACAACTGTCCAGACAACAGAGATCCCCCCCCTCGAGGAAACAGGCTCCGTGGCATTATACCATGCTGAGGCCTCTCCCTTGCCCTCCTCAGACTCCAACACAAAATCTCCAGGTGTTTCCCAACCTGGAGCTGGGAACCCTAGCTCAGGCCTGACCCCCAATGAATCCTCCCTCAAAGGCCAAAATATGCCTGGAAAGGGCCTTCCGTTTTACTCACAAAAGCCCATTCTGGAATACTGTGGTTGCCTAGCAACAGCCACTGAGGGAACCCGTGTTTTTAAGCTACGGGCACTCCTTTTATCATTTTTGGATTTTTTTAAACTCCCCAATGTATTTTTTTCCCCCTAGATTTCACCTTTTCCTGCAAACCTGGGGCCCTTTTGTCTTGCCCATTTACAGCTTCAGTCACCAGATTTAAGTATCCAAAAATTTGCCAGCTTTGCTATTCCAATGTAAGATAAAGTGATAACTGGGCATAGCAAAATTTACTTCTAAATGAAGTATTCTTACCCTTTTCCACAAATGCAAACAGATCTTTGTAAAGGAGGATAGTACAAAGACTCTTATTACCTTCTAATTTAAAATGTTTTTAAAATAATGCTCCAGCGTACATTGTCCATCTGTAGGGTGCTTAAAAGATTCTGAGTAAGACTTGTACTACATACTTAAAGTTCTGAACCAAGTTAATACACATTCAGCAAAAAAAATTCCAAACCTAGAATTCTTTGACAATGCCAGTTCAGTACATTTTTATAATTCTGCATTGGGTTTTTTTTCCTGTTCTGGTTTTCTGCATGACTCAGAAAAGTATGCATAGTCCAAAACCTGATTACTTGAAAATCTTAAACTGGGATGTTTGTTGTGAGTTAAAAGTGGGGACAGGTGAAAATGGCCATAAGGTTACAGAGGTTCAGGTGCACATGCACCCTGTTTAGTGCGGCACTGGAGCAGTGTAAGTTTCTTCACGGTCCCAGTTGGCTGCTGCTATTGATACCTTTCTTTTAAACAAATCTTTTTTTCCTTGGCATTTACAAGACGTCTGATCTGGCTGTATGCCATCACCGAGGGCAATTAAATTAGTTTGTCCTCAGTAATATCATCTGGCAGCTTGACAAATTAGGAAACCTAATAGGAAAGGGAAAAAATGTAGCAAAGCAGCAACTGATACAGACTGTGAAGTTATTTCAACTACTGTACAAGAAATGCCTGTTTGGACAGTCCAGGGAATGTTTTTGGGACCCCTTAAGCCATCCTTCTGCCATAACAAGTAGAATGGAATTGTTTGCTTTTGTGATTTCTCTGGGCTTCCCACCCTCTCGAGGAAGGCTTGGAGTGGGAAGGGAGATTCCAGTAAGGGATTCTGAGGAGTCATGAGATGGGGGAATGGATTGTTTGAAAATACATGCAATTCCCACCCTCCAAGGGGACTGAGCAAGCGTTTCCAACTGATTCTCAGCTATTCTTAATATTCCACCCTTCCTGAACTGGGGTGGGTGTGATTAATTTACAAGTTCATGTTCTGCAGTTATATAGAAACATCTACATCATCCATGAATTGTCCCGTTTTGCTACTTTCACAATTGGAAAGATCCACCCTCTTTACTGTATAGGAGTAATGTTAATATATTTGCCTAATGTTTGTTTTGTCTTCTTCATTTATGTCAGGTACATTCTTATAATGCTCTAATGTGCCTGTTGCACTGTGAACTATGCCAGTTGGAGGGCCTAATGTTTACTTATTTTACTTATTTCATTATTTTAATTTTTATACTGCTCCTCCCCCACAAAGTAGGGCTCAGAGCAGTTCAACGCGGTATAAAAAAGCAGCATAAAATACAGAGCATAAAAAACAAACAATTTACAGCTGATAGCGGTGGATCCAGCATTAAGCTCCATATTC